GTATGTGTGTGTGTATGTGTTTCATTGAAAACGGCCGACAAAGAAAATTTAATTAATCTTTTATTGAATTTTCTCAGTATGCTAACATTTTTTCGTTTTGCTGGGGTTAAAGAATTATCTATAGTTATAATTGTTCCAAACGCTTTCGTCTAGTTCTACAGCCATTATCAATTATCGCTCGGAACAATTATAACTATAGACAATTCTTATATTCTTTAACCCCTGCAAAATGAAAAATGTTATAATGCTGGAAAAAAATCAATAAGAGATTAATTACATTTTTCTTGTCGGCCGTTTTCAATGAAATATGCTTGAAAAAAAGGTTGCTGCCCAAATACCTCCCCACAAATATATATGTGTGTGTGCGTGTGTGTATTTGGGCAGCAACGTTTCTTTCAAGCATATTATATATATATATATATATGTGTGTGTGTGTGCATGCAAACAGAGTTAGAGGTAGATGTGTTAAATAAGTAAATACACGGAGTAAATGTTAGTAGACGGCTAACCTACATGAAGAGAGAACATGCAAAAGAATTTCGGCTTTTCTTTTTTTATCCTGAACTGAACATTAGCTCATACCACTCTATACGAATTTCTTACTATAGGCCCTGACCGGTAGCTAATGTAACGTGAGAGATTTGTTTGTTTTTAGTATTTTAAATCTTTGGCAAATTTCTGATAGCTTTTTCTGATGCCAGTGTTCCTAGAATTTAGAAATAATTAAAAGAAAGATGGACATAAACACAAAAACAAAATAAACGTACATTTGTTAAAAATAACTACTAATTAGAATGCAATAATTAGATATGAAATTAACTTGGATTATTTATCTACTAACACAAGGTCTTTTGACATACGCATACATCTACGCACAAATATATACGTAAGTACTGAGTTGGAACAAAAGTTCGTAGCGTTTTTCTGTAGGTGACGTTTGAATGTGATTTCTTTTCGAATATGACTGAAATTTATGATGAACACATACATATTCTGAAAGCACATTTCTATACGATCCGTGTGTAGATCGTGAATTTTAAATGTTTTTTAGTGAAAATGGAAAAAAATATGTATAAGAAATTTAAGCTGCTTGAGTGTGCATCGTCTGACTTTCAGAGAGAAATCAGACGCTGTGTTGGGCTCTTGCTTAATTTTGGAGTTTCAAAAATATTTTTGGTATCTTTCGATTTGTGGGGAAAACAACTGCCTTTGTTTTTCATCCAAAACCAATAAAATGGTTTCCCTCCCAATTCCAAGAAGTGCATTTGGAGCCTACCTGGAGGTTATTTAGTAGTGTGGCTTAGATTTCATTTTTTGAAGTCGGCGAACAGCTGCCGCAGGAACCCAGGTTGCTCCTGTGCAGAAAGAAAAACAATGCATAAAAAATTTAACCACCAGACGAGAATTGAAAGGAACACCAAAGTCGCTCCCACATCGGCTGTTGTACTTGTTCTATTCTTTGCTGTTGCCACGAAATTTGCTTCGAAAATTATACCAACTGTCTGAAAACTATTCAGAGAAGTATTTTCTCATTTTCTTCATTTTACATAGTTTTCTTTTCTGAGGACCTTATAATTTTATAGTAAAAAGGAATATTTCATTTTCATTTATAATTTATTGACATACATGTTATTGGCCATCATTTAGCACACAAGGAACTTAATTTGTGTCATTCATTCATTTTTGTGTGTTAATAATAATTTTTTTGTCTGTTTTTAAACTCGGCTCGTGTCGTCTGCCTTTGTTGTGTGGCCTTATAGATTAAATGTTACTGCAAACATTTGTTTGAACTATTTTTTTTTCGTAGGGTTTTTTGCCAAATAAAAATCTTATATAACATGTACTTCGTCATTTTAGGTTGCTTTTAATTCCGCAAATGGGAAAACGCAGGACAAACAGTAAAAAAAAAGTATTTAACGCTTATGGATATAGTGACTTAGCTGAGAATAATGTCCGTAAGTGATTTATTAGGTTCAGAAGTGGAAGTTTTGTTCCGGAAGACGATCGTTCTCTTTTCACCTTCTAACCATTGAGCTCGGACATGTTTAGTAGCCGTCCCAACGAAGAGAAGACTCGGCCACCCTCAGTCAACGTCAGGCTGACTTGAAGTTGACCATTCTCTACACATTCGCATCTTTGTATCTACGTTCGTCAGTAAACATTGTCGATACATTTTCTACTCAAGTCTTCGTTTTGTTTATTACGGTCCACCGACATTCAAAATCTGTTAGCGGCATGAAGTCCACAAGACCAATTCATCGAAAGAAAGAAGCTGTCGTAGGATGGAATCATGGAGATACCTACAACATGACGAAGCGCAGCGAAACAAAATGGCTTTAAAATACATTAGCTATTTAACGATGAGCATTTGTCACTATTGCAACATGTACCAAAGTAGAGAGCAGTGGACATGTTTTTAAAAAGTAATAAGTTTTTAATAAATGTTTATAGATTTTACATATACGAAAGTCTAAGAACTACAATTTGTTCAAACACTATCCATTCCTTGTTTTATTTAGGAGTCATCCGCACACACGTTCATTTTGTAAGTATCAATAAGTAAATAGGAGTAAGTATTATTGCAATGGATATAACGAATTGCAAACAGGTTTCATAGTTTGTATCTATAAATGGTTGGAGAAGTAAAGAGAAACAGTCAAGACCGGTTTAGAATTACGAGACTTTACTTCAAATTCAACTTACGCTGTTCGCCTGAAAATAAATCAAGGCAAAGCAAGGTAAAAAAAAAATGTAGCGTAACCTTACATGAAATTATGTACATTCTACTTAAGGTAACTGTTTATTTAAAATATACAGACATTTCTTAGTATTTCCAAAGGCAAATTATGTGTGTTTGCGTTGGTGTATACATGCAGACAATTGTAAACCAACTGTTCTTTTAAATATATTTTATTTAATTGTTATTTCTGTATTGTTTGGTACATCTTACTTATTATAAAACGCAGATTGTGTGTGTGTGTCTGTACGTTTATATATTGGATCGGATTTCCTACATTTTTCAACTGATTTCAACAAAACTTCACAAGACTACGTAAAATTACCTTGCGGTGGTTCTGACAGCGCCAAAAATTGAGTCAGTTTTGTTGATTTTTTCCTTAATAATGTTTTGAACGACTTGTATCTCTCATTCAATACCTGACTAGTGTTGTTGTATGAATTAGATTGCTTTCTACAATTTATTTTATCAAGTGGCGAGAGAGAAAATATTTTCTATAACAATTGAATAATTTTCTCCAAAACATAACTATATATAAATTCATGCATAGTATTATGTATGCGTGTATGCCAATGGCAAAAGAAAGTGCTTCAGACAAAAATCCTAATACTAGAAATACCCTAGCTGGATTGTTTTTCTTTTTTTAGTTTCTTTTCCTTTAGCTTTTCCTTTAGTTTTTAGATTTAATTTTTAAAGACTATTAGAATTTTTTTCATAATAAACAAATACTGATTAAAAGCAGACATAACAGTGATCGTTTTAAAAAAAGTAATTAAAATATCGTTTATTTATTTATTATTTTTGCACAAAGTTCAGGTCAAGTAACAATCAAGGGCTAACGTAAAAGATTTCAGGTCTACATGTCAGTTAACCTGATGAATTAAAACAACCAAAATAGCAATGGAATATCTGCAATTACTTCATTACCTTGTGTTCATGGTAACGAGAATTACCAAAGTGTCTTTGAAAAGTATCTTTGAAAGTTACTTCGTCTTGAACTTCACCCCAAATGATACTCCGTCTTGAACTCAATTCCCGACCCCAGATGCTAATCCTCCCTGAACTCAATTGGCGGTCCTAAATGTTATTTCGCTCTGAACTCAATTCTTGACCCCAAATACTATTTCGCCACCCTAGACTCAATTCCTGACCCCAAATGTTACTATGTCTTGACCCCAAAAGCTAACTTGCTACTCCTGATATTCATTTAGCATTGTACAGCACAAGGCTAAGTAAGAGGAGATAAGTTGTGTGTCACGCCAGACTTCCATGTGGTTTGCGCCTGTTTACTTTGAAAATCTGCATTTGAGATCAGGGTTTAAACAGTAACAGCTAGCGAAGATGCCAATTATAAGCAAGCAGGCCATATAATTATTGACTAAGCTTAGTCTAATCTGGTACAAGGTTACCGTAATAGAGCTCCCAATTAGGATAGATTTCTAAATATTTGGTCTGAGAAACGAGGTTGCTAAGCATTGAGCTAAACTAGGAACACAAACTTGCTACACTTTTATCTATATAAATTCTTTCATCGTGAATTTCATATCGTTTGACAGTTAAAGTCACAAAGGCGAATTGGTCAAATATGAAATCCTTTTTCCTAGGTTTGTACAATCGTACTTTAGCTTGAGAACAAAGTTAATATATTTGCATCAACATTCATCATTCTGTCTTCTTAAAGGCTCTTCTTTTCCCTGAAACCATCTGGTGTCAAATATGGATGCCATATGCTTTTGGTACTGCCAGACATTGCTTATCTCTATGTGCCAAAGAGCTACCTAATAAAGAAGAGCTCCGGGCAATTTACAAACATTCTTATCTGATCACATTCCTGCCCTTCCTTTGATTTTCTGTTACTTATGGAAGCCCAGAGATAAGTCGAGGTAAAAGCTCAATGCAAACGTCGACATTTTTTCAAAACTTCATTGGTTTAAATAAACTATTTTTCTTTGTCTCTAACATGCACGTATTTATCTAGCAACTGGCAAGCTAAAGTAATGCTATGTTTGGTAAGGTTCTTAACTATAAAATGTCTTGAGCAAATACAATTCATATTTCGAACAAAATATAAAATATTTCCACTAGACATCAATTTTTTTTTAATTGGTTAAATGTTCAATATCGCTTTTTGGTTGTGCCGGTAGTTATAAGTTTGAAAACACTTTATCATAGTTTACTTTAGATTTTTTGTTTTGATTCATTGACGAATTCTTCAGTATTTCTCGAAAAAACTGGTCTCTATGTATGTGGAATATCGTCTATCATGTTAGCATTCTCTCTTTTTGTCATTTGCCTGCCAGTTATAGACTTGCTATTTATCGGTCTGTATGCTTTTGCAGGAACGTGATAATCTTGCAAGTTGTTGCTAGTGAGTTGCTTTCTCAGTCGATGATCCAAGAATATAATTTTGTATCAGAATTGGCGTAATCTAATAAATATCTAACGTCATGTAATATTACTAATTTTTATCGATAAGATATCTATAAGATCTGTATGTAAATCTATGAATTTATGCCTATAAAATATTTATAAGGCTTACATCTATACCTATGAAATTATATTTCATAGTAACCTCACTGTGCCTTTGCTTGCTAACGTTTTCCGCTGGCATGAAGTGGAAGGAATGTATTTAACCATTTGCTAAGTCTGCTGCTAGGAAAATTGCTTTACCGTGTCGTGCTAGAGATTATTTTCTCGCCAGAATCTATCCAAGCTATTTATATCTTCCATTCGTCCATTCATTGAATATTGTTGCCACATCTGGTCTGGTGTTTCTGCTATGCATTTAGAGATTCTGGATAAAATACAACAAATAATCTGCAATGTTATTGATCTTGACTTAGCATCTCGGCATCATTCACTTTTCCACTGATGTGACGTAGCTTCCTGTACCTTTTCTTTCATGGTAATTGTTCTTATGAACTTTCCTCTATCCTACCTAGACTTTATGAATTTATGAGCAATACTAGAATGGCGACTAAGTCTCATCATTTTACAGTTGAAATAAACAGATGTAACCGTAAATTCTATGCTAATAGTTTCTTCTATTCCACGTCTTGCTTGTGAAAATCTCTACCGTCTTCTTGCTTTCTGGTCAACTGTAATCCTTAAATGTTTAAATACAATGTCAATCATTATCGTCTGTCTTAAAGGTTCTTCTTTTATTGTCCTCTCTCCCTAATAATTTTTTTTCTTTTTTTCTCATATTATCTTGCACTCAGTAACGCCTTGCGACTTAGTGGCTTTATTGCCTTCCTTAGGGTGAAATGATTAAAAAATCTATAAGATAGCTAATGACGAAAATGGGAAAAAAGATTAAGAAAACATTTGAAGCAACTGAAATGTGTTTCTACTGACTAAACATGTGAGTAATGACGATATTTTATTGTCGTAAATTTGGTTTGTTTTATTTTACGGCATATCAACCTCAATGGCTTATTTAATGCCGACGATTTTTATTGCTGGTAATTTTCCAAAAATGTATTGCTGGTAATAATTTTTTTACAAAGCATTTCTGGTATTAAAACCTATTTTTACATTTGCATAGTGTTTTGATCTCGGTTTTGGGGTTAACTATTTGCCCATAGATAGGACCCTAATAGGTGTTACCACCCCGGGGTCAGGGTGGACCTGGGAACACCAGCAATTAAGAGGTAGTTCCACGCTCCTCAAAACCTCCTGATCACAGGCCTTGCGGTCGGATGTAGTTTATCGTCATACCCAGGACCCGGATGTAGTTTATCGTCATACCCAGGACGCGGAGGTAGTTTATCGTCTTACCCAGGACGATATTGTCGTAGAACTCGCCTGGAGCTTATTCAATCATTAACTCTAAGATTCATCAGAATATTAAAATAGCAAAACTGAGACATTTTCCCAGATTAAAACTAGTTCATATAAAAAAGACATCTATAAAATTTATACATATATCTCTGAATTTATATCTATACGCGTTAAAATCTAGTTCAATGTTTCCTATTTCATTTAGATTGAAGATTGTAGTTAAATTATTTTGAAATTAAATATTTATGAAATGATGGGCATCAAATCCCATTTCTTTCTTTTTATGTGCCGTGTCCTTTCAGGACGTAGGCGATCATGGCTCTCCACTTACCCCTATCTGTTGTAGTATTCAATAATTTTCGTGCCTCTGCAAACTTCCCCAGACCACGTTCTATCATCCACTTGCTTAAGCCCGCCAGGCATATCATGCGTGGCTTTCCTTGTCTCTCTTTCCCTATATTCGACCTGTGAATATCAGATTCTCCAGACCCTCCTTTCTCATAACGTGTCCCGGAAATTTCTTCTGCCTCTTCCTTATGTTAAGTACTTTCTTCTTGTTTGCATCCTCTCCAAGACCTCATCGTTGTTCACACGCTCGGTTCATGATATCCTTAGCATCCTTCTTTAGAACCACATCTCCGAGTCTCTTCTTCATCTTTAAGGAAATCATCCAACATTCGCTGCTGTATAAGAGGACAGATGTCACGTAACAGCTCAGTACTCTTTTCTTTGTCACCAAAGAAATCCTCCTGTCACCCAGCTTTTGGAATGCATCCTTGGCCATCCCAATCCGTCTTCGGATCTCAGCGTCGCACCTACCGTCCTTCGTCAAAACGCTTCCAAGATATTTAAACTTCTGCACATGTTTGATTTTAGAGTCCCCGACCTGCAAGTAGCGTTTCGGGTTCATCCTTTTACTGATAACCATGCAGAAGATAAGTTGAGCAAATACACTAAAATAGAAAGAGTCTTTCGACAAAATCACCTTTTTTCACTGACTTTATTAATCTATACAGTGAGATTTTAAATCAACCAGAATTTATTAATCCCATTACTCATCTTTTAAAGCCTATGACTGTATATCAAGAACTCACAGTATATTTTCTTGTCATCAAGATGTTGATCTGTCACTGTTTTATGATTGAATTAGTTTACAACTTTTTTCATTTTAGTTTTATTGCTTTAGTCTTGTTTATACAAAAGTATGTTTTTTTATATCTGGAAATTCATGGGCGACTTGTGGTGTAGTGGTAAACAAGCTGGTCCCTTCAATTGTTACCCTTGAGTAGTAAGTTCGACCCTGATTGTCCCTTTTTCGTGGCCTTACACCAAAACTAAATTCTTCTTCTTTTATGTTCCATGTCCCTCTCCATGAACGTCTCTCCACAGCTTCCTATGCTTTGTAGCTTTGGTAGGCTACTTGCTGTTTTCTTCTGTCTCTCTTAACATCAATATGTACTGCGAATGTTTAATTTTTAAAGCATTCTTTTCTCATTATATCCTAGAAATCCAAACTGAAATCGACTTTTTGTTCCCAATTTCCTTAAAACGTCCTCGTTATTCACATGATCCGTCCATGTTATTCTCAGCATTTCTGAATCTGTCATCAGCGCATTGTCATCTGCCTATCTTATGTTAAGATAACTTCCACCAGTAATAAATCCTGGTAGAACATCTAGTTCCCTGAGGATCGCCTCGCACTTGGTAAATAATTGTCAAGAAATTCATAAAAGCTAGCTGTTACCAATCCTCAAACCCAGTTAAATACTGCTTTTCAAAGTAGATAGTGCTCTTTGATTTGAAGACTAACACAGAACAATCTTTCTACGGTACATTTCCTCCCATTAGTAAATATCTATATCAGAAGATTTATTCAAAATATTTCAATATTTACGATATTCTTCAGAAAACAATGTAAAATGTATATATAAACAGGAAATTGCTGATGTACCCTGACGAGTGGACTGAGTGATTGCTGGAAGGTCCGTCTGTTAGAGTCAGAATGCTGAAGATAACACCAAACATCTAAGTGACAAAATTTATATTTGCATTAATTTTATACGTGCCCCACCCCCACCATATATATATATATATATATATATATATATATATATATATATATATAAAATAGAACCCAGAACCCGTTAATGGAACCAACGGACAACTTGCTGAAAACCTAAAACTCTTATCCAGATACAGTCTCGAACAAAAACGACAATGCTGAAAAAAGAAAGGGAAAAAGGCCTAAAGGAAAACTTACCTACCCAGTAAAGTGCTCGAAGCCCAGATTACCTAGACCTAGCAAAAAACGCTTACTAACGTTAAATCCTATGAAAGGATGGTTCTAGTCGTAACCGGAGTTGCATGCTCACGCAATCTTCAGACGACTTGAAGTTGTGTGTCTGTGTGTCAGTGTGTGTGTCTGTGTGTGTCAGTGTATTTTTATTTGTTTCTTATTGATTTGCTGTGATTAACTCTATCATCTTGAAGAAGTTCGTTTAAAACCTAAATATATTTTCACCTTTTCTCGTTCTTTTATTCTATAATTGTTCTCTACTTTTCTTTCCGTCATTCATACTCGTAATGTGTTCATACTTCCAATACAGTCTCTGGTAATGATTTGGTTATTAAGGGACATTCTTGATTAATGAGTACTCACAAAATTCTAGGAAATAGCATTCGTGCTTAGTATATTCGGTATGCACCACGAATGACGACAGTAAGAAAGGTGAAATGAAAAAGACTCCTAAATCGGTAAATCTTGGCTTTCGTTTGGTTACTCAAAAGCTTCTTTTTTTTAATTCTCTTTGACCCGGATATGACGAGTGCTGGATTCTGACTATCATTTGGGAGATAAAATTATTGGCGAACCTTACCACGCGATTTTCTTCGAATAAACAAATTCAGACGGCAATAACAATCACGGTTTTATATATATATATATATATATATATAGATAGATAGATAGATAGATAGATAGATAGATAGATACTTGGGTTTGGTTACAAAGGTAAAAGTGATAAAGAACTAGATTTAAGGAAAAAGAAGAAACGGAAAAATGAATGAATCTCAAATATGTGACATCAATCCAGCACGTTCATACACTCTCCTCCCTCTCAACATTTCTTTTTATTGAGTCTACAAATCATTTTTCTTCTTCTTCTTCTTCTTCTTCTTCTTCTTCTTCTTCTTCTTCTCTTCATTCATAAACATTCGCAAGATAATTTCTTCTTTGTGTCATTTTAACTCACTCTCTCACTCTCACCCTCTCTCTCCTCCTCTCTCATCATCCCTACGTTTCTCTGTTTTCTCACCTGCTTTCGTTTCATTTCTTTCTCCTACAAACATATTCTGTTCCAATATTTCTTTTTATTCTTATACCCTCTCTCTCTCTCTCTCTATCTATCTATCTATCTATATATATATATATATATATATATATATATATATATATATATAATATATGAAATGGACAAAGTCCGACAATTATTTTAAGATTTTTTATCTTTATACATACTTTTTATAGATACAAATATTTGAGTAAATGGTCTGTTTATAATAAACAGTATTAAACAACATTTACCGGCCTGAATGTCCGAGAAATTTTCATAGAAAATATTCGTCCACCGAACACTCCTCTGTGGCCGAATCGGTTAAGGCACTTCAGGCTAAATGATGGTTCCGTATAGGATACAGGTTCGATTCCTGTCGAAGGATGAATATTTTCTATGAAAATTTCTCGGACATTCAGGCCGGTAAATGTTGTTTAATACTGTTTATTATAAAACAGCTCATTTACTTAATTATTTGAATCTATAAAAAAAAAGTATAAACATAAAATGTCTTAATATATATATATATATATATATATATATATATATATATATATATATTAAGTGGACACTGAGGTCAACACAAAGGAGAAACAGTCTGTTTCATGCTTCCATGCAATCTTCACTGCTTGGCCTTGACCTCAGTGTCCAATTTAATATTTACATATGTTCTATCGCTGATATTGAACACTTTTACCCATAAATATAACTTCAACCATAAATATAGCAATATCTTTATAACACACACACACGTACACGCACACAGACACACATATACATACGCACACACAGATACACAGATACACACACACACACACACACACACACACACACACACATATATATATATATATATATATATATATATATATAAAAACAAAGAAAAAAAAAAATCGTTGGTGGAACCAACGGGCAATGGACAACTTGCCAAAGCCTAAAATTCTTATCTATATACAGTCTTGAATGAAACCGACAATACAGAAAAAGGCCTAAAAACAAACCTACCTATTCAATAAAGTGCTCGAAGCGTAGATTGCCTAGACTGAAAAAAAAAACGCTTAACAATGAAAGGATGGCTCTAGTCGTAACTCAAGTTTCACGCTTTCGCGATCTTCAGATGACTTGAACGTCCTATATATATATACATATATATATATATGTGTGTGTGTGTGTGTGTAATTTTTTAAAAAGTCTATTCTTATACATTCTTCATTCTTTTTCCAAAGTTTTACTCAATTCACTTTCATATCTATAATTGTTTTTTACCCTAATTTCACCATTTCTCTCCTTTTAGAATTTGTTTTATTTCATTATTTTTTTTTCAAAATATTCCATTCTTTTTATTCCAATTTTTCGTTTCTTCACCAATTTATTTTACCTTCGTCAAGTTGCAGAGAAGGTTCGCGAGAAAAACAGGAGCTGTACATGGTGTTTGTGGACTTGACGAAGGCGTTTGGCACTGGGAATCGAGAGTCTTGAGGAAACTCGGCATCCCAGAAAACATGCTAAAGGTGATCATCTCCTTTCATGAAGGAATGAAAGCTAATATCGTGTCTGATGGTATGATGTCAGAATCTTTTGATGTCACGAACGGCACCAAGAAAGGGTGTGTCATGGCCCCTGTCCTTTTTGCTCCTTTTATTCTCGGTGATTTATTCGCAGACACAGAGAGCGGCATCAAGTTTCAGTTTCGAACAACTGGTGGACTCTTCAATCATCAGCGCTTCAAAACCAAGACCCATCGTCGTACACAAATTATCCGTGATTTATTTTTTGCTGATGATGATGCTCTTGTTGCAACATCCTTTGAAGAGGCCCAACATCTAATAAATCGTTTCTCTGCTGCATGTAAAGCCTTTGGTGTTACACTTAGCATAAAGAAAATTGAAGTAGTGCACCAACCTTGTCCTACTCCGAAGCAATTCTGTGGTGAGAAACAAAAAACACCAGTCTACAAATTTCCAGAGAGACCATTGAAAGTAGAAGACAAAGCCCTGAACTATGTAAAGTCTTTCACCTATCTTGGTAGCAAAGTCAACTTCAGTGGATCTTTAGATGATGAAATCATGCATCGGATTGCTAAGGCTACCAGTTTTTTCGGCAAACTTCACCATCGCTTGTGGGATGAGCGGGGTATCCGACTGGATACGAAAATTCTAGTTTACAGAGCTGTTGTCTTTGATATCCTTTTGTACGGCTGAGTCGTGGACTCCATACAGGTACCATATACGCCAGATGGATGTTTTCTATAAGAGCTGCTTGCGTGCCATCTGTGAAGATAGGACATCCAACGTAGACCTGTCTAACAGATGTAATATTAAAGGAATCGAGACTTTCCTCATACAGTCTCAGTTACGGTGGACTGGTCATGTCTTGAGAATGTCTGATGACAGGATACCCAAGATCCTAATATACAGCCAGTTAGATCAGGGCTACAGGAATGTAGGACGCCCATGGCTAAGATAGTGGACTCAGCAGTTTTCTATCTGCTAGTCTGAATCGTCTTCAAAAAGCGAGAGCAAGATCTAAAAGGTCTGCCAATCTAACAGTGATCTCATCCTACAATCCTCATCCTTGCTCTCTATGCGGCCTCCTTTGTAAATCACTAGCGGGTCTTAAGTGCCACTTAAGATTATCGCACAAAATTCATAACTGAATCAATTGGTTGAGTTGTCAGATCCTTATACGTCGAAACCGACGGGAGAGTCCATTATTATTATTATTATTATTATTATTATTATTATTATATATGTAATTTTAAAAAAATTTATTTTTATACATTCTTCATGCTTTCTACAAAGTTTTATTCAATTCACTTTCATTTTCTTATTTTCACTCTTCCTCTCCTTTTAGAATTTGTTTCATTTCATTATTTTTTCAAAATATTCTTTCTTTTTATTCCAGTTTTTCGTTTCTTCACCAATTTATTTTAACTTTTTCCAATCATTATTCTTCATGTTTTTCTTTCTTTTCTTTTTTTTCTCGTAACATATTGTAATGGTGCCGTTCTTTGTCTTCAGTGCTCATTACTTGCTCATTTCCATCTTCCTTTCCCGTAATGTTTCCTGAATTAATTCAATCTCCTCCTTTTCATTTTCACTTCAATTGTCGACGCTGACGTCAAATCCTTATCCATCCCTTCCCATTCAAAAACCTTGACCAATTTAAACGCTATCCAATGAGCTTCCGGCTGTTCAGTCAAAAATAAAATTATCGTTAGTCTTTCAACAACTTATCCGGGTATACAAAAGGAAGTTATGTCTGTGTTCTTCTGTGTTGATACTTCGAAAACACGAGCAAGTTCAAAGATTTTCCTTTTACTTGAGTTGATGATACCAGTCAAAATAATGTTCTTTGAACGAAAAATATTAAACACGGTTTCCTTTGAGTTACCGCGACAAGAATGGATCTGCAAACAGATATGTACAGACATACTACTCTCTCTCTCCCCCTTCATCTCCACTCTTTTTCTCTCCCCCCTCTCTCTCATACACACACGACTTTCTTTGACCTCTTTCTCCCCAACACTCGATCTGTCACTCTCAGTCTCTTTCTCTAGATAGATAGATATATAACAGGAAACGAACCCTGTTTAAAAGTTTAATTGAAAATACAGGATGGTGATTTGGAGAGACAACTAATTGGATAGTAATTATTAATATTCTCAGAGAGTAGGTTGAATGGATGAGAAAAATAAAAAGAAACACATTAAAATCTATGTTATAAAGTAATAAAATGAATTGAAACACACTTCCAAAGAGAATCAAACCCAGAATTAACTAACCAAGATTCAGTAAAACTGAACAAACCCAAGGTTCGCCACCGTATCCATTTTTCGCCGATTCTGACTAGAGATTATCATGTTGTTAATTAACAATATCTCTTAAGATTAAGTCTGTCTGGTTGAAGAAATTAGTTTATATCATTGTCGAAATTTGGGGGGAGGGGTCATCTATATAAACGACAGAAAAAAAACACCTGCCCCCACCTCGGCCGACGGACAGTAGGAAAACCGAGACAAACAAGGAAAGGTTATTACTTTAGCATTTGCCACTAGATTTCCAAAATCACCATCCTGAAGTAGAGAACTTGATTTTGCAGTAGATAATAGTGACATTTTATTCAACCAGTGTTTCTTTATATTCAATAAACCTGTTGTTAGAGTTATCAAAAGTGTTGCGAATTTTATAGAAGGAATGTTTATTCTAGCCTGATTCCGACGCGCGCGTGGACGCAAAGAGACAAAAGTTACCACGTCCATAGACAGGAATTATGCACTCTTGTCTGTGCTACACAACATATACAGAGGGGTTCACACTAGACACTGCCGTCAATCCCAATATCGTAAGCTTTGGGGAAACCCGAATCAACCCGATCGTGACGACACACCGGCCCCAACAAAGGATGGAAAAGAAACCCGAATGATTCGTAAAGTCGATATTACTCAACAAAGCTAGCGAATGAGTAAGGAGAAGAGAGGAAGTAGAGGAAGGACAGATGTGGAACATCGTTATAGAAGTTTAGAAAAATTGAATAGATTTATGTTATACTACTTAAATTCAAAAACTAACACATTTTAATCTATTTTTTCTGGAGACGATGTTTCGTTATAAAAGTGATCAATTTTTAGTTTTCAGTTAACCTTGCTATACAATACTGAAATTCTCACACCTTTATTAATCACTCACATTTTCGCATATATATTCGAATATATTTTATTACAAAAAGTAATTAGCGATATAGACACATAAAAAACATACGAACCAAGTTATTTGTCAACAACAAATATTAGCATTAGTATTAAGACAGCTCACTGCTTATTCAGTTACCGACTGCTACAATTTATACGCATACATAAAACAACGTAAATCCGTGCCACACCCATTCTCGCATGTAGAGGCATTTTGTTTCTTCTATACTAATGCAATTCATCCGGTTCTACTGTAAACAAGATACACAAAATATTTTGCGTGATGTTGTTTCACAAAGAATCTTTGTAATTCATTTCTTTCAATTTGAAAGAAAATTAATACTCAAATAATAAAAAAATTATTTAAATTTGTAGAATCGTGTTGAAGATGGCTTATTTCTTCGTTTATTCCACTACATAAATACGGAGAGTAGAGTGTAGTGTGAATTGATAGGTGTACGAGGTGATAGATAGATAGATAGATAGATAGATAGATAGATATCAACAAATAAATTAAACTTCAAACTTATCTTAAACTTGTCTTAACGATATTTTCTTTCATTCTTTTACAATGTACAGTATTTGTTGCTCTTGTTGATAGATAGATAGATAGATAGATAGATAGATAGATTTGAGAGAGAAGGGAGCATGTATATGACCTATGCAAAAGTTCATAGTACCACACAATGTTAGGCAATATCAGAAGTGTTTTTGAAGATTGCTAAGCTCTTTTTATTGCTTATCCAGTGGTTCCCAAAATTTTCTCTGTACTACATTTTCGGAATTAAAATTTGCTCGCTCCTCACAAAATTTTATGTGATAAAAATTACATTTAAAAATAAAAAAAAAAGAGAGAGGCTTAAAGGGAGATAACCGCAGATTCGAAGTCGAACATTATCATTGATAACTCTTTCCCACAATTTGCGGATCCTAATTACCTTAATACTTGATATAAAGCAAAAATATCAGAATGATAAAATCTGTCAATAATCATTGATAATAATTTATAGTCATGCATGCAATTTCAAGTAATCCATAATAATATTTTAAATTTTGAAATTATGTTTAGCATATGATTTTTTAAACTGTTTCTAATCTTTGATTATCTTTCAATCATTACGCCTCACCTGCTATACTGGTTAAATGGGACATAAGTGAAACAAGAAAATGAAAATCAGTTAGTGTTTAATCACTTGTCTTTACCTTCTTGCTTGATACAGAAAAAAACTCATTTTGTGGTAAGATAGGAAACAGGCGATGAAATATGGCTTTATTACAGGATTCCAAAACAAAGAAAATTATGATTACATTCAGAACAGACTACAACATCTCAAACTCAACATAATCTACTGAAGGATAAGTTCTCTGTGTTTGGCTGGATTCAAAGTAAATTATTTATTATAAATTACTGGAATAAAAATTAAATTCTCTTTATTTACTGGAACAACTGGTTCATTGCTTTCCTGTTATTTCAGGCTGATCAGTACCTAGATGGGTAACTACTTGGGAATACCAGGTGCTGCAAAATTGGATGTGTGGGTGGTGTAATGGGTAGCGGCTGGGAGTTGGAAATTGGAGAGATGAGTTCTAATTCTAATTAGGTTCATTATATTCACTTACGCGCAAATACCCTTCGGAAAGATGTGAATGTACCTCTTCTTCCCTTCCCTCTCCAGCTATGGGTTAATTAGTAGGATTTGTATGACTAAATCGTTATTATCTTCAAAAAAATTCTTACACTCTAAAAATATTTTCTGGCTTTAAATAATCTGTAAAAGGTTGATAAGCCGTAAACATAGAAATCAATCAACCAATCCTGTTATTTCTTACTTTAATAAAGTGTGAGCCTTAATACAATTGTCGGCATACAAGTAGAATATCAAGTACAATACTGAAAAGCACATTTTCGCTACATCTTTACATTAAGGTTCACTCTGTACAAGGCGCGTGTGCCACTTGAGGTAAAGGGTTACAGTAAAGGCAACATTATATGGATAGGAGGGGAAGATAACGGTTAAACAGGTTAAGATTGTAGTGATCGGAGAAACATCCTCTTAGGAGTCTGTTCCACAGAGCAGTGGTTTACGGGATGAAGCTGTTCGAGTGGAACTTACTTCTCACCGATGGAATACGGAGTGGGGGAATGTGGATATAATATAATATAAGTAGCATGGTGGGTCCGAGTTTTGGTTTAAGCTACAACTATACTGAACTAACTTTAGTTACAATGTCAGAGATAGATAGATAGATAGATAGATAGATAGATAGATAGATAGATTAATCTGGCGTGATCATGAGTAAGCTTGAACCCGGGATCATGATGACTTCTGACTTTATACTAGCAAAACCATCGATGACTTCCAAACAGTTCCTTCTACCCAATTCTACTAACAAGGCTTGGATCAAAAACGTCGTATGATTTTCAGGCACTTCCCAATGGTGACGCATGCAGGGATCTTTTCCCCGGGATGATAATACCACATCCTTGACTAATCAGCTATGGCATGATTCAAATCTCGTATCTCATGATCGTAACTCTAACGTTCTAACCACGTGAGCATTAATTATATTCATATGCATAGAAAAGGTTGACGAAATCTCTTGGCAGTCTATACGATTTATATTGATATTATGTAAATTATGAAACGATTAATTCAATTTAAATCTCAATTCGTTTCTTTCATTGTGTATGAAAACCACAAAATTAAACATCCAAAATTCGGTACGTTCAGCGAAGCAGACACACGCTAACGATTAGGATTGCCTGATGTTTTGTTGTACATATACAGATAAGCCTCTCTGGCAGTTTTATATATATATATATATATATATATATATATATATATATATATATATATATATATATATATTATAACAGCTTCACCGTGAGTTAGTCGGTTATGTGCCATGCGTTTAGGCGATCATGTATCTTTCGATTTTTTCAGCAGTAGGTTGCCATTTCTTTCTGCGTTAGACCAGTTGCCATCCAAGGCTATAGAACTCTATATGCCCTGTTATTTACGCGTAGCTGGGAAGTGAAGAAGTGGATTCATACCTTTTCCAAGGGTATTAGCATGTAATGTTTCAATTCCCGCCTGCATCGGTGCGAATGGAACTGAGAAAAAGCCCAGTCTAATTTCATGAGGAAACAGAACGTGAAATATTGCCACAGCTAGAAAACACGATTCTTGTTTTCAGCATAACAGGTTCTTTATTAATGTCTTCCTTTGGCACTTTTGTGGAGGGACATCTTTGCTGCTACTTCTCCCACGACAGACTAAAGGAACAAATCCAGTCAGCGAGAATAC